TGCAATAGGAAATGTGGCTGGAAGATACTCCTGGAGGTCTAGTCCAGCCTCTTGCCAAAAGCAGGATTATTGCCAGCAGTAGATGAGGTCAGTCATGGCTTCGGATGAATCTGCAAAACAGTCAAGGACGAAGATACCATCAGCTCCCCACGTGACCTGCTCCAGCGCTTCACTGCTTCCCCAATAGAAAAGCTTTTCTATTGTCCTATCTGACTTTTTTTCCTTCCTTTATACTCACGCACACATATACCTGGTACGTCTGATGAATCAGGCTTCCTTCTCTCCCCCCTACCCTTGCAAAATATGCACCATATTTTCACAGATGAGTTAAGTATCTGCAAACACAGCAGGAGTTACAATGCCTTCAGTTAAGCTCCTCAAACACCAGGCGATTCAAATAGACAGCCTTACTCACCAAGACTTTGGCCAGGACTTTCTCTATTTTGCTTATGCCACCAGCCCCACCTTCAGTTTACAGGGTGTTTGCACCCACCTGTTTTATCTGGGGACAATTTTGTAAGTGAGAGATGAGAAGACATCAAAAGGTTGACAAGATGCATCCTAGAAGGATTGTAGCCTTCAAGGTAGAAGTTTGTACTCCAAACTGCTCAAACTGAGCACCCTGTTGCTGGTGGCAGTTGGCGGGAAGAGAGGTTTCTGCAACATTGTAAACTGATCTGGGACTAAAACTTCACCTCAAAACCGTCCTTTCCCAAGCCCTTTCCTAGTCAAGATTACTGCTACTTTGGAGCCAGACGTCTGGCTCTCATGGTGAAAAAGCCCTGTGTTGTCAGAGAAGTATTAAATAAAAAACACTTCAGGATGGGGAGGCAGGGAGAAACTTGGGGCACTTCTAATGAAACCGTACTGAACACACACTAGTTGTGTCTAGGTGCTTTCTTGAAGCCAGGAGACAAAACTGTGCTGTTTAAGGTCACAAAGAAGTCTGCTATAAGACCCCAGCCTCCACAATGTCTGGACCACAAACAAGTTTCACACAGAACCTCTCACTTTGTAAACAACAGATGTTCAATGGGAAACCCTACAGCTCTGTGATTCTGCAGTCCTTACTCGCCGTGACCTTGCTGGTCCTCACTCGAGTTTTGGCCTGTGAGCCCCCGGGCAGCCTGCAGCCTAGGCTGCCTTAGCCCTTCTCCATGGAGAGGGAAGGTGCCTGCGTGGAGGCAAAGGAGATTGTGGTCTCCCTTCCCATAGCAACTCCAGCAAAGCCATTGCACCAAGATGCATGCGAAGGCAAGGTCACTGCATGGAGGGAATTAAGACACTGAGCAGCAAAACCAAAGGAAAATCTCAGCAGTCAACTAGCAATAAGGTAGCAAACGTTTACCCAGACTTCTTAAGAAAAGGAAGGACAATGAGCCTAGGAACACAGTGTGCGCAGAACAGCACATGTACCCTGGCACGGCTGCTCCCTGTACAGTCGGAGGGCTCCCAGTTACCAGAAGGGGAATTGACCAGCAAGGCAGATAAATCATGTAAGTAAAGGCTCAGTTTTGTGACTTTTTCCTTTGGTTCTTCCTCCCCCTTTCCCCTTAAGCTGCGTTTTAGTTCAACACAGGACTCTTAGGACAGGTGAACCAGCCACATTCAGCCAGAAACGTGCATCTCGGTAGGTCAGGAGCTTTATTTTGATTTCACAAACACAATCCTGCCACTGAGGTGAATAACACAATTGTAAAACTCGATAAAAGACTGTGGCTGAATTCTAAAGTTAGTCATGTAATTCTTGTTAGTGACGTATCACTGAACAACCCTTTCTCTTTTTTAAATTGGTGGAAATGCAGGCTAGCTCTGGGGTGGAATATACAATGTAGAAATTATTTGTAGATCTCCCTAATAAATTAGTATTTCCAGAGACCACTGGAAAAAAGCAGTATCTAGGAAGCCAAAATACATAAATTTGATTTTCTACATAGGGAATAAGTATCCTGGTGAGAAATATTTTACTCTTGGGAAGAGAGATTTAAAAAAGAAAAAAAAAATCCAAAAAATCCACTTAAACTGGAAACGATCCGATTAAAATATACCCAGAAACAAACCTAGGACATCTTTACAACGTGCTTTTAAATAGTTGTATTCAGCATATTAAGATCCAGGATAGCACTAAAAGCATCATCCAAAATTTTCAATGGAGAAAGAGGGAAAAAAATAGCATCGCCTGCTCCGGTTTACTGGACTTATATTTGACTGTGATTAAGCACAGCCTCAGCACAGGATCTAATAGGTCATCAGATACTGAAGCATACAGTATCCCAACCCGTGCAGAGATTGAGTTGACAATCCAAACACCAGCATGTCTCCATTTATTTTCATCTTTCAGGACAGCCTGCAAAATTTCTTCATTTCTGTGTTTGGGTTCAGGAAAAGTCAGTAGACCCTGGCAGTGTGCCCTCAGCCACTCATGGATGTTGGGCTGATTGATGTTCAAGGCATTCTTCAAGGATGTGGCAGACCCTAGACCAGTATGCACTAGGGAGAGTCACTCCACCCAAGCTGTTATGTCCAAAACTCCCTATCTGAAACTGGGGAGGAAAGAGAGAAGTGGCAGGAAAAGGTGTATTGCTCTTTCACAGAAGGGCCAACAGAGAACTCTATACACACACACACTCTCTTAAAAAGTTTTTATTAATTTTCATTGTTTTTTTTTTTAAAAAAAACAAACCCGTCAGTGCAACAGTTCAGCATCCCCTTCCTATCCCCAATCAGTAAGCAGTAATTTAAAAATCAGGAAATACCGAGTGCTGAAGCCAATGGGTTAGCATTTTGCTATTTATTTCCTTCTGTCAAACTCTGAAAAAGTCCTCTGTATAAATTAAACAATGAAAAAAATGTTATTTTCATTTCTATGTCATTACAGTCAACAGAATCATAATAATGCATCTAAAATGTGTGTCCACAATATATCAGGTATACATTTTTGGGAAAAGAAAAAAAAGGAAAAAAAAAATATGACATTCTAGGCTTGTTAAAAGGATAATGGTCCCATATTTTTATTAACAGGTTAGCAAAACAAAATCCAATGGATTACAATATTTACATGTTATTTGAAAAATAAAGTAGTGATAAAAGCATGTCACAATCATTTCTTTTTTTTTTTTTTCTTTTTCGTTTTTGGTAACCATTACAAACACCCAATCCAGGTATGGAACTGTTTAAATACATTTGAAATGAGGCCAATTAAAAAACAAATACAGACACAAAATGTGTATTTATATTTGTCCCTCCAATGTGTTTTTCACATGACACTCCCTCCCTACTTCAAAAAAAACCAAAAACCAAAAAACCAAAAAACAAAAGAATCCCCCAAACCCACAACTGATGAATCCTTAAAAGCAAAACACCATGCTTCTCAAGTAGCACTTATTCCACAAATGCAACATTTTTGCCATCAATTTTATATGAAGCTGTCTGGGACACCATATCCTCAGCAACTTCCTGTCTGTCTGTCTGTCTGTCCCCCCTCCCCCAAAACCGAACCAAAACAAAGACACATGCATTTCTAAAACTAGGTTTCAGTCAAGTACTTTCTACTTTTTGGAAAGAAACTTTTTTTGTTCGCAATCAGAACATAACCGTGGGCACTAGATCCTGTATTCCTTGCTCAGGCAAAAGTCCTGTTGAGTTTGGTAGGCTTTCCACCCAAGAAAAAGTGCAGGATCAGCCACTAGGTACATAGGTTCCTATTCACTCTACGCTGCTCCCCTCATGCTAAAAGCTAAGGAGGAGGGGAAAAAAATTAGCAACTCCCGTCTTTAATCGAGTAAGAGTAGTTCTCCAGGCTCAATGTCATATGTAACTATTTCACCTCCGCTTGCAAAAAGATGTGTTAACAGACGCCCCTCCCTCCCACCATACCAAAACAAAAAGAAAACACGCACACCACAGACGGAAGAAAAAAAAAGGCAGCCAAT